CTCTCTCTCTCATATCGCACTTTTGCCTAACATTTCATGACATTTAATATAATAAATGCTTAGCAATGAAATGTTAGACTCAATCAAATTATAGCAAACAAAAGCTAATCATTCGCTTTCGACTCAACCCAATAGCTGTCCGTTTGATTACATCAAAGTATATGACGGCGGCTCAGATCAGGACCCAATCATAAATACTTATTGCGGACAACAGCGTAATCTTATGGTGTATTCTTCGGGAGAGAATCTGTTCGTTCAGTTCAATACACTGAAGAGGACGGCCGACAGTCAGAACAGAGGCTTTTCGGGATGGTTTGAGTTCAGCGAACGATTCGTTAATCTCGGTATCTATTGATTTCTCTTTCATTCAACAAAACATTTATTAAATATATAAATATAAGTAAATATGTGTTTTGAATGCAAAAATAGTTAATATTCTTGAGTGATACTGTATGTCAATAGAAAAGAATAATGCATAATGCTCTTAATAAATACAGTACAGATTTATAAGCTATTTTAATATTAACTAAGTATCCTTTTGTATTCTTATAAAGTACTGTAAACAGAATACAATATTTGCTACTATAAAAATATATTGTAAGAATTAATATATTTATTCACAGTAATCTACTGTAAATATAGTACAGCACAGGATATTTTAATAGACCTTATATTCATAAAAGGTATTTTAATAAGCAAAATGTTATTCTTATTTAGAAAATTAAAAACGATATGCATTAGTAAATTATTTGTAAAGTAAATGCAAGTAATTATAATTTTTTTAATGAATCCTTTAACACTGTGTATAGATTTACTTCATTTATATATTAATATATATACAATTGAAATAGTATATTCTTATTAGTAAAAGTATAGTCTTCTTACAAATTGAAGTTATATTTTCTAGCAAATGGTGTATTAATTATTGTTGTAATTAATAAATACTTCCATTAATAAAGGTTTTATCGGCAAAAATGACGGCCAACACATCAAAGGCACAGAATGTGACCAAAAAATATTGAGCCGTAAAGAATCAAACGGAACCGTCTATTCACCAAACTATCCATTTTTATACCATTCAAACATTGTCTGCAAGTATTATATCTACGGTTTGCAAGACTCTCAACATTTGGAAAGAGTGAACATCGAGTTCGAGAAGTTCGAGATTCCGGCCACCGATC